GAGATTGATTTATTTCACTTATGAGTATGGTCTCAAGCTGCGCCCATTTATTGATAAATATCTCAATGTGATCCTTCTTTATAGCTGAATATTACTCCATTGTATAGAAATATCACAACTTTTTATCCATTCCTCAGTTGATGGACACTTGGGTTGTTTCCAAGATCTGGCAATTACAAATTGTGCTGCTATAAACATAGGTGCACATATATCACTGTGATATGATGCTTTCCGTTCTTCTGGGAATATGCCTAGAAGTGGAATAGCAGGAATAAATGGGACTTGGAATCCCAGCTTTTTGAGAAATCTCCAGAATGACCTCCACAAAGGCTGCACCAGTCTACACTCCCACCAACAGTGCAGGAGAGTTCCTTTTTCCCCACAGCCTCTCCAGCATTTGTTGTTGTTGGTTTTCTTGACCCTGGCCATTCTTTCAGGAATGAGATGTTATCTCAGTGTGGTTTTAAGTTGCATTTCTCTAATGACCAATGATGATGAACATTTTTTCATGTATTTATTTGCCATTTGCATTTCTTCATCTGAGAAGTGTGTATTCATCTCAGATGCCCATTTTGGGTTGGATCTTTGAATTTTGGGGTTCTGAGTTTTTTTTTTAATTCTTTATATGTTATAGACAAGAGTCCCTTGTCTGACTGAGAGTTCACTAAAATCTTTTCGCAGTTTGTGGGTTTCCTTTTCACTATGCTGGAGAATTCTTTTGACATGCAGAAACTTTTTAATAAGAAGTGATCCCAGTTATTGATTCTGGGAAGTATTTCCCGTGCGGTTTAAGTCCTGTTCATGAATTCTGTATCTACTCCTATGTCTTCAAGGTTTCTACCCAATTTGTCTTCCAATAGATTCAGTGTTTCTGTTTTAATATTCAGATATTTGACCCATTTAGATTTTAATTTAGTACATGGTGATAGACATGGGTCTAGCTTTAGTTTTCGGCAAATGGAGAGCCAGTTTTTCCAGCACCATTTATTAAAGAGACTGTCGTTCTTCCAGGGAACCTGCTTGGGTCCTTTATCAAAGATAAGGTGGTTGAGTGTGTTTGTAGTTGTGGTTGTATCTTCTAATCTATTCCATTGATCTTCTGCTCTGGTTTGATTCCAATACCATGTTGATTTTACTACTGTTGCTTTGTAGTATAACTTCAAGTCAGGGATTGTGATGCCTCCTGCTTTGCCTTTGCTGCTTAGAATTGCCTTTGCGATTCTAGGTCTCTTCTGGTTCCAGATGAAATTTAGGAGTGATTTCTCTAGATCTATAAGGTATGCTGATGGTATTTCTATTGGGATTGCATTGAATCTGTATAACAGTTTTGGGAGAATGGCCATTTTCACAATGTTTGTAATTCCTATCCATGAGCAAGGGATGTCTTTCCATTTTCTGAGATCATCTTCAATTCCTTTTTTCAGTGTATTATAATTTTCACTGTATAAGTCTTTCACTTCTTTCGTAAGAGTAATTCCTAAATATTTCTTATTTTTGCTTGCTAATGTGAAGAGTGTAGTTTCTCTTATTTCCCTCTCTGTGATTTTATTGTACCTGTATAGGAATGCTATTGATTTCTGAGTATTGATTTTATATCCAGCCACATTAAGAGTCTTTCAATGGAGTTTAGGGGGTCTTCTATGTAGAGTATCATGTCATCTGCAAACAATGATAATTTAACTTCTTTTCCTATCTTTACCCTTTTTATTTTTCTCTCTTGCCTAATTGCTCTGGCTAGTACTTCCAGTACTATATTAAAGAAGAGTGGTGATAAAGGACATCCTTGTCTGGTGCATGATTTTAAAGTAAAGGCTTTCAATTTTTGGCCACTTAGTATGATACTGGCTGTTGGTTTGTCATAAATGGCCTTTATTATATTTAGATAAAGACCAGCTATTCCAATTTTCTGTAAAGTTCTTATCATGGATAAATGTTGGACCTTATTGAAGGCTTTTTCTGCATCTATAGAAATGATCATACGATTCTTATTTTTGGCTTTATTGATATGGTAGATTACATTTATTGATTTACGTATGTTGAACCATTCTTGCATTCCTGGGATGAATCCCACTTGGTCATGGTGTATAATCTTCTTGATGATTTGCTGCATCCTATTTGCCAATATTTTATTGAGGATTTTGCATCTGTGTTCATTTGCTAGATTGGTCTATATTTCTCTTTTTTAGTTGGGTCTTTCTCACGTTTTGTTACTAGAGTAATATTTACTTCCAGGAATGACTTAGGAAGGATTGCTTCCATTTCAATTTCATTGAATAGCTTGAGGAGTGTCGTCATTACGTCTTCTTTGTATTTCTTGTAGAATTCTGCGGTGAATCCATCTGGGCCTGGGCTCTTCTTTGTAGGTAAGGACTTAATTAAATTTTCAATTTCATTAACAGACATTGGGTTATTCAACAGTTTTACATCCTCTTGATCTAGCTTTGGTACTTCATATGTTTGTAAGAATCTGTCTATTTCTTCTGTGTTATCAAACGTTTGAGAGTAGAGGTTTTCAAAATAGGTGTTGATGATCTTCTGTATTTCTATTGGGTCTGTAGTGATTTCTCCTTTTTCATTTCTTATTGCATGAATTTGAGCTTTTTCTTCCCTTTTTTAATAAGGTTGAATAGGGGCTTATCGATTTTATTTATTCTTTCAAAGAACCAACTCTTTGATTCCTTGATTCTTTGGATTGTTTTCTTAGTCTCTGTTGAATTGATTTCTGCTCTGATTTTTATAATTTCCTCTCCACTTTTGGCTTTGGGCTTGACTTGTTCTTCTTTTTCTAGCTGTTTGAGGTGTAGCATCAAGTTATTTATTTGTAATCGTTCTTTTTTCCTGATGTGGGAACTCAGTGCAAGAAATTTTCCTCTGAGGACAGCTTTCATTGCATCCCACAAATTCCGGTAAGTTGTATCTGCATTTTCATTTGCCTTTAGGTATTGTTTAATTTCTTCTTTAATTTCTTCTGTGACCCACTGATTACCCAAGAGTGTGTTATTCAGTTTCCATGTGTTTGTGGGATTTTTGCAGTATCTTTAATCATTAATTTCTAATTTCAGAGCGCTATGATCCGATAACATGCGAGGGATGATTTCAACTCTTTTGCATTTGTTTAAATATGTTCTGTGAGCTAATATATGGTCTATTTTAGAAAATGATCCATGTACTGCTGAGAAGAATGTGTATTCTGATGTTGTTGGGTGGAACATTCTGTATATGTCTATCAAATCCATTTCTTCACAGGTGTGATTCAGTTCTGTTATTTCTTTGCTCATTTTCTGTCTGGTTGATCTGTCCCTTGGTGCCAATGGCATATTAAGGTCTCCTGTTACAATTGTGTTACTGATAATTTGAGTTTTCACTTCTGTTAATAGTTGTTTTATATAACTGGGTGCTCTGGAGTTTGGTGCATATATATTTAAGATAGTTATCTCTTCCTCTTGGAGTTTTCCCATTACGAGTATGTAGTAACTTTCTTTGTCCTTTATGGTCACTGTTGGTTTAAAGTTCACGTTGTCTGCAAACAGAATGGCTACCCCTGCCGTTTTTTGGATTCCTACTGCATGAAGTATTGTTTTCCATCCTTTGACTTTCAGTCTGTGAGTATACTTCTGGGTTAGATGGGTTTCCTGTAAACAGCATATGGTTGGATTTTGTTTCTTGATCCATTCTGCTAGTCTGTTTCTTTTGATTGGTGCATTGAGACCATTTACATTAATGGTTATTACTGTTAAATGCTGGCTTATTGTTGACATGTTATCTCTCTGCTGTTGCATCGTTATCTTTCTGTTCTGTTTAATTATCTGCTTTGCTTAGTCGTTTTTTCCTTTGTGTATCTAAACTGTCTTTCAATATTTTTTGCAGGGTTGGTTTGGTGTTCATGAAGTTCTTCAGCTGGTCTTTGTCATGGAAGCATCGTATTTCACCATCAATTTTGAATGAAAGTTTTTCAGGATACATCAGTCTAGGTTGGAAATTATTTTGCTTTAGGATCTGTAATACTTCACTCCATGCTCTTCTTGACTTTATCGTTTGTGCTGAGAAGTCTGCTGTGATTCTGATAGGTTTTTCTTTATAAGTGATCTGTCTTTTCCCTCTGACAGCTTTTAATAATGTATTCTTGTGTTGGATTTCTGGGATGGTGATTATTATATGTCTGGGTGTAGTTTTATTTTGGTTATGACTATTTGGAGTTCTATATGCTTCACTGATCCTGATGTCAGTTTCTGATCACATGCTTGGGAAATTTTCAGCTATTACTTCTCTAAATATCCTCTTGACATACTTTATGTTGTCTCCTTCTTTTTCATTAATCCCTATCATTCTTATGTTACTTTTCTTTGTATCGTCTTGCAGTTGTTGAATTGTTGTTTCCTGATACCTTGTTATTTTTAAAAGATCTTTCCTTTCCTGTTCACTAGCTTCAACCCTGTCTTTAAGGTCTGATATTCTATCTTCACTTTCATTAAGGCAGTTTTTGCAACTTTTAGTGGAGTTTTTTATTTTCTGCATATCTCTGTGCATCTGCATTATGTATTGTGTTTGTTTCTTATATTGCTCGTCTAGAGATTCTATCTTTTTGTTTAGTTCCTCCAATTTTTTATCTGTGTTTTCTTTAGATATATTCAGAATCTCTTTCATTTCTTTTACCATTTCTTCTTTTACCTGGGAGACTATTTTGAGTTTGAATTTCTTTAAAGCTTCCTAGAGTTGCTTGTTAATTTCAGTAGCTATTGGGTCTGATACTTGAGATGAATCGCATATATTTTCTTCTATATACATTGCTCCTAGGGTTTCTTGAGCTGGGCTGGAGGTTTGAGGTTGTAATTTGGTCTTTCGTTTTGTCATTTTCCTATATTTCTGTGTTTCAAGTGTTATTTGAAAGCTTCCTCAGGGTCTGTTGGAAATCCCCTTCTATATTTGCAGCACCTGTGACTCTGGCACCACATTACCCCAAGCCACTGGGCCTGGAGAACCAATGGCCCTCCTCTTCCTGTTCAGAACTGTGCAGTTCCAGATAAGCTGGGCCTCAGGGACACTGTGCGCCCACCTCCCCATTGGAAGCTCCACAGCTCTCCAATCGCAGGCGGGATGTGTACGCAGATGTAGACGCCTCACACCCACCTCTCCACTTCAATGCACCAGGAAGCCCAGAGGGAACTGAACAGTCTGGGATTTGGGCAGAGTGTGCTGAGCACTCACCACAGGCTGCAGGGCCTCTGGAACCTGCGATGCTCCACTGCCCACTGAGACATCCACAGTCCTCCAGACACACAGGGAGGCTGATGCAGGCACCCCAGATCCGCCCAGCCCCTCCTCTGCACACCGATGGCAAGGTGCAGGAGTCCCAAATAGGCTGGGCTCTGGGGCGAGTGTGGCCCCACACCGCATCTCCAGATTCATGTATCACACAGTGTAATATCTCTCAGTAAACCATTGCTCTCACTTTTCATTGAAAACAATGAATTTAAGTGCTAGGAATATAATATGGACACAGCAGTTCTGGATTTATTTGAGCTTCATTGCTGGTACATTGGTGACTCTGCTACTGCAGGTGATGTTCCCAATATCACGAATATTCACTCATTCCAGAAATCTTCTAAGAGCATCTATGTTGTCCAACTAAACAAGATGTGATAATATATAAGGATCACTATAGATGATTTTCAGAATAGAAAATACATTGATACAGACATTTGTGTTCAAAATAAATATGGTGACTTTGTATTCCGGTTTGTCTCTTATTTTTGACATTTTTTAATGTTGGTTCATTAAGGCTATATAGTTTGTTTAATCAGATACATAGATTGATATCATTTGGTTTGTTCACCAGGATATTTTATGTTTCAGTGGCAGTTATAATTTTATGTGTAATGCTACAAGTTTTTACAGTTTTTCATAGCCAGTTACTATTTACTTTGTTGCATTTAGTTAGATCTTTGTCACTGAGGTAATGAGTATTTACCTTCAAACACTATATAAACTAGAAGTGCATTTGTTTAATATTTACTAGTTATTCTGAGGACCTCTAAAGGAATAAGCATGATTATAAATACATTGGTGTAAGGAAGAAAATTTCTGAGTCATAGATCAGGAAACACCTCCTGAGTTAATTGCTGAAATCAGTATTTAATAGAGTAGTTAATGCAGAGAAGACAAAGTAACCTCACACTTCCTCATTTCCTCACTGCAGGAAAACTCTTTGTTAGCATCCTATTTCCCTCGCTTCTCCTGTGTCTTCTTTATAATCACCATTAACCTGTAATTCACAGACAATGCTGGGATTAGGGGCTGAACAGAGAAATGTTATCAGGTAACCTCTTCCCACCCATCTTTAAGGGATGGCATTGTAAACTACTTTTATAATACAGTTAGAGTACTAAAGAGAGGTGACTCGCTAGATTTCTTCAGACAGATGAATTATCACGTCCTGTTCTGAGAGCTCACAAGAGAGCAGCCATTCAGAATAGCAAACGCTTTGTTCCACACACTGCAGGTTAATTTCAAGAAAGAAAAAAAAAAACCTTAATTTTATTCAGGAGTACCTTTACTTATTAGAATTTCTATATCATGAGTTTTTAAGTTTCTATCCTTTGGATAATTGGCAATTAACACCTGTATAATTTTGTTCATTTATAATTTCACTCAAGTATCTATAGTGACAGGTATTTTTGAATTTTTTCTTAAATTTTTAAGTCTTACATGTTTTATTTCTCCAAGTACAGCTTCATACCTGAGGTAACATATAGTTCCCCTAAAAGACTGTGAACAAAATGAACTAACTGTGCAATATTACCATATTTATTAGGTATTCTCAGATTATTCCCTAAGGTAATAAACACAAATACATTGTTTTACTGTGTTACAGCTCAGGAAAAACCTCACAAATTTACATTTGACACAGTAGCTAACACTGCTAAGGTGAAAAAGGTAATCTCGTCCTTCGTCCTCAATCCAAGAACACTCACAACTGGCATAATGTTATTTTCCTCCCTTCTGTTTCCTCTTTTCCTCCTCACTTTCTCCTGGTCCCAGTCAGCCAACTGCCCAATTATGGATTTGAATAAAGGCCATCAGATAATCCTCACCCCACACGATCCTCAGTTATATTCAAGGAAAGAATGGAGTTAGAAAATCATAGCACTCTTATAGAAAAGGATTGGGTCCTGAGATTTATTTTGGCAGGGCTCATCGTGAAATAAAAATTAATTCAGTAGAAGGGGAAAATGAAGCAAAAACTACAGAGCCAAGGAAACAATGATGTCATCAGGCTTACGGGATGCAGGTTAGGGAAGTTATGTCTCTGTCTATAGCAATATGAGTGACAAAGGAAATGTGAACAGTGAATATCAAAATAATTTTCTAAAATGATTTAAGTGTATCCACCCCTATTGATCAATAGTCTAGCCACGAGCAACGTATTTCTATTCAGCCCTGGATCTATGTCTAGTTTTATTGTGGAATTATGCTTCTAATTTTAACTAAGTTTTATCTATAAAGTACTTGGAGCATTTATCCTGTGTTTGAATCACAATTATAGACAGATTCAAGCCAAGGCATACACAGCACATTGCTGAGTCTTTGGAAACTTGTCTGGATTCGGATGCTGCAAGGAAAGTGGTGGAGACCATTTCTCTTAAGAGACACTTAAAGGGAAGCTGGGCCCTAGAGCCTGCAATGCTCTCACGGGAGTTTAAAGGCCAGAACAAGACACATGTGAGCCCCTCAGTGAATGATATCCCAACAACGGAGTCTTCCCAGCAAGAGTGATGCTGGCTGATCAAGTGGACAGTGCACGTGGGGCACAGTGAACACAGTCTCAGCCTCAGACTCCTGGGTGCTATAGGTCCTGTCATGGAGGCCTCTTCAAACCCTGCTGTCTCACCTGGACCCAGAGCACCAGGACTCAGAGGGCCACAGCTCCAGGTCTGCAGCTCACTGCTGCACCTGATTCAGGTTGATCTTTGTCCAGAGACAGTAACCACATCCCGTTGAGAGCTTGTGACAGGCAGGGACTTCATAGAAGAAGCAGAGCAAAAGCAAGGGGTGCACAGCAAGGCCTCCAGGTCTTGAACAGAGGGCACAGAAGGGATAAAGAGAAACAAAGAGGTGTTATTCAATATTTTTAATTATTGTATTTCTTAGTACAGCATATTCTGAGATTGTCTTTCAAAAACTTCTAAGTTATAAAGGCAAGATTTTGTCATTTTGGAAAAGTATAAACAGTAGTATGGTAAAACACAAATGACTGGCAGGAATTGGAGGAGAAGGAACAGGGATAATTTTTATGGCAGAGAATTTTAATGGCAGTGAAACAAAATTGCACAGTAGCAAACGCTGTGTGTGTGTTATTGCACATTTGTTTCCCCTTGTGAAATGTATAGCAGGAGTAGTGACCATTCATGCAAACTACAGACTTTGCACACTTATGGATCTTAATGGTTTGTAACAAAATTGTCCTTGGTTGTTGATGATAGACTGCAGGGCCATGTGTACTGGGTAATTAGGGCCACCTCTGTATTTTAAACTTTTTAATGAACAAATCTACACTAAAAATTGAAGGAAGTCTTTAAAAATCCTTGCTTAGAACACAGAAGGGCTTCTAGGATGCTGACTGAATCCAAAACTATGCCATAACCCACACTGCTCAGAGGTGCTCATGTGTGGCCTTCACTTAATTAGGACAGGAGCTGGACTATCTGTGATTTAGTAGCTAAAAAAAGGAAAGAGAATAAGGGTGTAGAGGACAGTCTTGGTCCTTCTTCTAAAGCTTCAAAGGAGCATTCAAGCCTGGCTTGTTCAGAGAAATGCTCTCAGCAGTTGAGTACAGCTGCAGTGGAGCTGAGCTGGGGCAGCCCAACCTCACACCTCTGCTTCCCTGGCTGTTTTTGTCATGGCTTGTATCATGTGGGAGGGGTACCATAAACATGTTGACAGTAATAGGTAGCAACATCTTCAGGCTGTAGGCTACTGATGGCAAGAGTGAAATCTGTCCCAAATCCACTGCCACTGAACCTCGAAGGAACCCCAGATCCCAAACTGGTTGCATCATAGATCAGCATTTGAGGAGCTTTCCCTGGTTTCTGTTGGTACCAGTTTAAAACATTGCTTATACCTTGACTGGCCTTACACTTGATAGTGACTGTGTCTCCCACAGATGCAGGCAAGGAAGATGGAGTCTGAGTCATCTGGATGTCACATCTGACACCTGAAATCAGAAACAAGTATCAACACAACCATGGTAAAACAACACCTCCCTGTAGAATCAGGCAACTGTGACCAGGGAACTCTAACTAGACTAAATTACAAAATAAATTTTTTCTCACCTTGGAGCCAGAACAGCAGGAGGCCCAGGAGCTGAGTGGAGATCCTCATTTCCATGCTGTGTCTGGACCAGGACTGACTCTTGCACAGGGTATGAGAACCTTGGGAAGAAATACTTTTGGGCATGTGCTGTGCTCTGCATGCATGCAAATCAGCATGGGCTGAGCAGGGTTGCACATAACTGCAAGGCTGTGTCTTCTCATCAGTGGTCCATGGTGTTCTGGGGTTACTTCCAGGCCAAGATGGCACCAATTTCCCCAAGAATGTGTTTCTCCTTTGGACCACAGAGCAGAATCCAGCTGTTCTCCCATGACTAGAGTGAACCATGTTCTATTGTTGGATCATAACACCCTTTGCACCTTTGAACAGAGCTGGGATTTAAAAGTTCTGTTCCCTCCGTCTCTGAATGCACAAGGATTCTTCATTCCTGTTTGACTTATGGCCACCCACATTCAGAGCTGTGTACCTGCTTCTCTCACCCCTCCTGTCTCATTGCTCACCAAGTTCATACTCTAAGAATACTCCTGGAAGGGACATCATAGCCAGGTGCACTACACATCACAAAGTAAAGCAGGAAATCCTGAGGAACTGGCAGATGGGGGAGACATGACCCATTGCCCCTTGAGGACCCAGCCATGTAAGCTTAGAGAGCTGGACACAGAGCTCCCTCTTTTAATGGGAAATTTTCACTTCAATATTCAAACATTCATTCATTTAGTCTCTAGGATAAGAACTTCGGCTTTGTGTATTGTAGGGTTTCTTTGCCATTTAATGAAAGCTTTGTAGCAGCAACCTTTTGGATTGAGGCCCTAATTTTTCACTTAATCACCCCTCCCAATCCTGAATACAGGAACTTGATCTTATTCTGCCCACTACCAGACAAGTGTCTATAGAAATTTACATGACTCGTCTTCTTAATAAATAAATCATCCAACTATTAAAGACAAACAGCTAATAATTCTCCTGGAATTCAGAAAAGATAATGATCACAGGGTACTTAAGGTCCAGGTATGTGACTACAAGAAATGACAAAAGGTTAGTTTTGGGAAAGAGTGGGGAACCTAGAATACCCTTGCTGGTTGCCAAGCTTGGAAATGTTTCAAGGTTGAGGGGTACTTGTCCAGGGGTCTTTTATTTCCCCTCAACTCCTGGCAACTGCTTGGTAATTTCACAGTATTCTGCCTTTAAGACTATTGAATCTTACTGACTGATTGGAGGCCCCCAAGGAAGACTTCAAAATTTGACCAACTTGTAAAGGACAAAGGAGGAAATCCTTAGATGGTTACAAAGGGATCTATCCTCAACAGCTTTTCTTTTATTTAGAAAAATTCCTGTAAATGAAGTTGCAACTAATACGTGAAACAACGGATCTGAAATTTCAGTTCTGCTGGGCTGATCATGGTGTTTGTGAAGTCCGTAACCAATTTGCACCTGCAAAAATCAGAAGACCATGGTAGCACCCAGTCTCCCTGCTCATCCAGGCTGAACTAGTGTTTGTTCTGGTTTGTGGTGTAGTGTGAAGAACTCTCCATTCCTGGTGACAGTAATAACTTGTGACATCATCAGGTCACAGGCTGATGATGGTAAGGGTCAAATCTGTGCCAGATCTATTGCCACTGAACCTCATATGAATCCCTGACATGGACAGGAGGGCTCACTTAATGAGGAGCTTTGAAGCCTGATTTGGTGTTTGCTGGTACCAATGTGAATTGGAGGCAGTGTTCTGACTGGCCAGCAGGTGATAGTGGCTGTCTTCCATTGCATCATAGACAGCACTGCTGAAGACTGAGTAAGCACACTCTTGCTTCTGGAGGCTGAAACCATGCATCAGCAGACCATGACCATGTGCATATGAAAGTCACTACAACTGTAGTCTAAAAGAAAAGAGGATATATTTTTATAGAGCTTTTATGAAGAAGGAGGAAGGAAGGAAGGAAAGAAGGAAGGAAGGAAGGAAGGAAGGAAGGAAGGAAGGAAGGAAGGAAGGAAGGAAGGAAGGAAGGAAGGAAGTTATAGATTTAAGTAATACTGTCACTTTGACCATCATCCAAGTACCCTCACCTGGAATCTACAATATTAGAAACATAAGAGCCATGATAAATACATCATCTTGACTTTGCCATATCTATTTTGCTCAGCCTGCATCCCAGAAAAGTCTCTTATAAGATCCCAAAAGCAAATGTACTTCCAATGTAAGAGGAAAGGTAAATGCAGATCATATGGACATTGTATATATTTAAACAGAATTTATAGGTCTCTGTTCTCAATGTTTTCTGTCTTCCCCTGCTGATCACTGCTGAGCACACCTGAGTTTCTGAAGAGCTGGCCCCTTGCAGGATCAGAGGCAGGGATCAGCAGCAGAGTGGAGACACAATCTGTCCCTGTCCTCTGGTGCAGTTCTCAGTCATCTGGAATGAACAGTTCCTCAGGTCCTTAGCTTGATCTTAGGCTATGTTAACTCTCCTGCTCCTTCCATCAAAGCAGGTTGAACAAAATACATCACATAAACTTGCCATGGAACTTCTTCTCATTCCACATGATATTGATGGCAGCAGGTCAAGTAGATGTACTGAGCAGGAAAAATTGTGATTATCTTGACTGTCTAATGAAAACACTTGCTGTGAAGAGGGTGCAATGAAAACTTTACAGAAATTCTTGGGGCTGCCACTATGGTGAAGTTGTCGAATGTCTTGATGTCTCAAATAAACCGATTCATCCTCTTCCAAGATTTGACAAGCAATTACACTTTGCTATATGCTTCAGTGTTTTTGGGTGATTTGCTTTACATCATATTCTCCAACTAATAGAATGTCAACTAATAGATATGGCAGGATATGCAAGTACAATCTCATCTACTGGAGCTAAGTAAATGGAAGTCAAAGGTCTGTGATCCTTTCACCATTTTTGTACTTCTATCTCTGACAGTAAAGTAAAATAAAAAGTTAACATAAATAATGTGTAAATGTACAAAAGGCTTCTGACTAGAAATGATGGCATATGCAGTAAACTGTCTGTTACAAAACAATGATTAATGAAATAGCTATGAATGAAATGAATATTATAATGTACATATACGGGCAGCACTATATGAGACACCTCTGCACTTTAAATTTTGCTATGAATATAAATTTTTACAATTGAGGAAAATCTTTAAAAACCATTGCTTGTAACCTATTGAAGTGCTTCTTGGTTGCCATGTGAATACAAAAGAATGCCATAATCCGCATTACTCCAATGTAATCATTGGTTCATTAAATCAGGGTTGAGAAACACAAAAGAAAGTTAGAGTAGAGAGGAGCTTCCTTGGATGCTTCTACTAAATCCTTCCAGTGAGCTTCAAAGATTTGATGCATCTGAAGAACCTGCTGTGCAACTGAAGACAGGAAGAGGAGCAGCTAGGGAAGCCCAGCCTCATACTTCTGCTTCCCTGGGAGGTTTTTATTATGACTTGTGTCATTGTGGGAGGAGTACTTTTATACTGCTGACAATAATAAGTTGCAAGATCTTCAGGCCACAGGCTACTAATGGTGAGAGTCAAATCTTTCCCAGACCCACTGCCACTGACACTTGATGGGACTCCAGATTGCAAACGTTTTGCCCAATAGATCAGGAATTTAGGAGCTTGCCCTAGTTTCTGCTGATACCAACTTAAGTAATCGTTAATGCCTTGACTGACCTACAACTGATGGTGACTGTGTCTCCCACAGATGCAGATATCGATGCTGGCTGAGTCAACTGGATGTCACATCTGGTACCTGAGATGGGAAACAACCAAGACCAACATGATTGTCCATGATAAAGCCAGACCTTTCTGAAAAGTTAGTCTATGCTGAACACACCACTGAGTAAATTCCTGGTGCTGTCTGTCCTTCCTTACCTGGGACCCAGAGCAGCAAGAGCCCCAGAAAGTGAGTGGGGATCATCATGTTCTTGCTGTGTACTGACTGGGGCTGAAGCTGCACAGATTGACACCAGCAACCTATGAAGAAGTCCTCAAGTAGCCTTCTGGGCTCTTGGAATATGCAAATCAGCAGAGGTAGAGGGATTTTGTCCAGCTTCAGGGCTGGCCCCTCTCAGCACAGGCTCAGTGTCTTCTAGGGTCCCTGTTTATACCCGAATGGCACAGGTTTCCCTGCAGAGAACGTGCTCCTCCTTTAGGACAATGATTCCTTCCATGATTAGAGGGAACTGTTGCTCTCGTCTTTCAGACTCGGTTTACCTGGGGACCAGGTTCTTTGTCATGCCCATTTTGAAAAGAAGTAATTAAAGGAAACAAATGGGCTATTTCAAATTTAGGGTATATAAGGGAAGTAATGAGTAGAAGAGAGCAGAAATTGTGAGCTAGGTGAACTTGTCTGGGTTCCTATACTCACTATCACAGCATGACTGAGATTGCGGGGGAGGACATGAACAATGCCAGCCCCGGGTTCCCGAAAACACACGCCAGAGCACGTTTCTGCCTGTCTTCCTCTAAGGGCAGTTCTGAGGCCCATTCAGATATTTGGTCTTGATTTTTTTTTGCAAGATAAGTTAGAATCATTTCAGATGCAATGTGAGAATCAGGATGTACTTAAATACATAAACAAAAGTCTGGCTGTTGCAATCCTTGGGATTGGGGCAGCAGCAGAGATAAAGCAGAAATGACACAAATTTTCTCCTTCCTATTTGAAATCTCAACACACAGACCTTTCAAGACTGGACCTAAAGGATCCTAATCTCAAAAGGGCTGCAATGTCTCTGCATCAGGTAGTCTCAAATCTGTTTCTAGAAGAAATCAAGGCAAAATTTTGGCCTCACCCTCCCAATTCAGCGGTATGAAAATATGTCCCAGTACCACCTGTTCACCTTCTTCCTGCCTCTTACATCTCAATCCTGAAGGGGTCACATAAGCCTCCTATTTCCTACTCCTGCCTAGGCTGAAAGAGGATCATCTGTGTTGGCCATGCACAGCAGGGCAGAGTTGCTACTGAACAAACTGAAGAAATCAGAGACAACTGCTGGGAAAGTGATAAATTTTTATTAGAAAATTAAAGAAATAAATAATCCTGTGCTTCTAA